TGAATTATAACCTTCCTAGCAGTGTTGAATTATAACCTCCCTAGCAGTGTTGAATTATAACCTTCCTAGCAGTGTTGAATTATAACCTTCCTAGCAGTGTTGAATTATAACCTTCCTAGCAGTGTTGAATTATAACCTCCCTAGCAGTGTTTAATTATAACCTTCCTAGCAGTGTTGAATTATAACCTCCCTAGCAGTGTTGAATTATAACCTCCCTAGCAGTGTTGAATTATAACCTTCCTAGCAGTGTTGAATTATAACCTTCCTAGCAGTGTTGAATTATAACCTCCCTAGCAGTGTTGAATTATAACCTTCCTAGCAGTGTTGAATTATAACCTTCCTAGCAGTGTTGAATTATAACCTTCCTAGCAGTGTTGAATTATAACCTTCCTAGCAGTGTTGAATTATAACCCTCCTAGCAGTGTTGAATTATAACCTCCCTAGCAGTGTTGAATTATAACCTTCCTAGCAGTGTTTAATTATAACCTCTCTATCAGTGTTTAATTATAACCTCCCTAGCAGTGTTTAATTTTAACCTCCCTAGCAGTGTTTAATTATAACCCTCCTTGCGTGCGGTGTTTATTTAAGGCAGCCGTTCTCAATATGTGGGTCGCGACCCCTTTGGGGGTCGAACGACCCTTACATAGGGGTGGCCTAAGACCATGGGCTTCGAAAAACACATATTTATGAAGTAGCAACAAAAATAATTTTATAATCGGTGGGGGAGGGTGTCACCACAACATGAGGAACTGTATTCAAGGATCGTGGTATTAGGAAGGTTGAGAACAATTGATTTAAGGCACCTGCAGGGGGGGGGGGGATGGCGTTGAACACTAAGGCGAATAAATACAATTTTTTAAAAAATCTACGTTATTTAATTTTTAACATTTTAAAAAAGTATAAAGGGAATTAATTGGTTCCTTTTACCGATTAGAAGTGGTGAAATATTGTTAGCCAGTAAGATATCGATACTATATTATATATAATATAATATCTGAATATTACAATTTTCGATTCTAAAAAACCCCATCTGGTTCTGAAAATAAGCCGCTCCCGCTTATAGGCCTACTTATGAGCAACATTCTTACTTTCTGTTGTTAACGTATATTAGTATAGGCCTATCGGTATCATTTGCAGCAGCCTTAGTTTTAACACCAGAAGCTACCTTTACACAGATAAACAAGACTACAATTTTAATATTTTGAAATAGTTTTGACTAATTTACAAACATTAGCAATTCGTTTCCAGTGTTATATTTCATTTTACGATGAAATCAATTTTTAAAGTAGGATAGTGAGTCAATTATCAATTATGTAATGACATCATACATGTTAAACAATATAGTTTTTATCATAATTTTAGTGGATTCAATGAATGTTTAACAAGATAAAATGAAACGAGAATTACTCATTAAGATTTTTAGGTACCCATACAAATAGTTCACGTAGCTCCCTCCCACGACCGGCTTATTTCGGGGATAATCGGCTCCCAGATTTGTACTCCCAGCCCCAATTATTACACTATCGGTGCCACTTTTTACTACCAAAAAAAA